GCTCGCGCGGTCCCCAGCTGCTCCCCGGTGCCCGGGGCTTGGCCACGGCCAGAGGAGTTTGGCTGGGGATGAAGGCAGCAGCTCCTCACCCTCGCTGCTGAGCAGGGGGACCCCGGAGCTCCTCCGTGATGGGGTGAAGAGGGGCAAACCCCGGGCAGCATCCTCTGGGTGGTCATGTGGAGATACTTGAGGGTGGTGTCACCTCGCGTTCTCCCCGGGGATTTACCCAGTTCTGCTGCAAGTCCAGGGTCCCCACCAGCTGCCCCCACTAACCGAGGTTTGGTGGGAGTGAAATACAATTTCTTGGCAAGTTTTTGTGTTGGAGGAAGGGGTGAAGCTCATTTTGACTGTATCTCACATCATTGGGACCTCTCCTCGTTGCCCTTGCCCAGTGCTTGGGGTTCTTCAGGCTGGTTTTTTAGGGGCCACACAGAGAGTGGGAGCAGCGTTTCATGGCTCAAAGGCTGCACCGTCCACAGGCGTGCTGGAGGGATGCCGAGCTCTCTTTGTAGCCTTGATGGCCATGGGCAGCTACGCCGAAGCAACAGGAGGAGGCTGGCTGGAACAGCCCCGTGAGCAGGGTTGGTCCTTGCGTCGCCTCTCAGCAAGGCAAACCACCTCCTGTGGCTGTCGCTGCTTAGAGCGGTGATGGCCGTGGGTTAAGCGGTGAGTGCCGGGGCTCTGCAGAGGGTTGGGGTCCAGATTTCCAGCTGGGGAGGAGGAAAAGATGTCGGGGTCCCTCCAGGGATGATGGGCAGAGAGGTCCCTTGGCTGTGGTCTGCCTGCACCCTGCGGGTCTCTGTGGCAGGGCCAGGAAACAGGGAAGGAAATACTTTTTCTTTCTGTTTACTGTTTGCTTTGGTTTTCATTTATTTATGAGTCTGAAATGGGATCTTTTATTCTGGATACATTTTCCTGCAATACAGGCCTGGAGAGGGCTTTCTTTATTATAGCTCTGCCCATAAATTATTCACTTAGTGTGAAGAAAATGTTCTGACTCTTTAACTGGTTTAAATTATTTGGTTTGTTTTCCAGTAGTTATTCAAATACGTATATCTGGATTTTAGCGTGCGTGTGGGGGGGTGCTTTGGGGTCCTCAGTGACTCTCTGGTGAAGTTTCCATGACTCCCTGCTCCAGCCCATTTGTTTTAATTTCACTTTTAAGCTGCTGGAAGGCAAGAGGTTTTTTGGTCATTAATGGAGAATGTCAGTTAATCCTCGCAGCCAGGCTTAGGAGGAGACACGATGCCTGGCTGGAGGCAGAGCCTCTGGCTGCGTGGGAGCAGAGGGTGGCCCCAGGCCAGCCCAGCTTGTCCCCTGTCTCTAGGGACACGCACCCTCCACCTCCCACCTCCCCGGCCCTGCCCG